CATACATTGTCCCATCAATTGCTCCAATAGGCGTACGTTCGGACCCATCAACTGCATGGAGACACCGGCCCCGGCGTGTGAGTGCGCGCGAGACTATTACATACACGACACCACCAAAGAGTGTGTCAAACGTGGGGTCAGGCACTGACAACACTGAAAGGGACAACGCCTGTCAGACACCACAGCAAACCATGACTCCGGCGGTGACTTTTGCAGACCTACTAATGGTGGCCACACGTGGGCAACGGCTGCGCTCGGAGGGCGCCCTCCGGAACCGTTGCACCCGATGCAGTCAGTCAGAGTCACCATAAGAGATGATTTGAAATAAAAACACTGTTAATTAGTTTATATTCAATCCCAGACTAAATTGATAGGGCATAACATCAAGGTTTAATAGGTAAGGGTTAGGCGTTTTTATACAAAATTATTAGTTAGAAAATTTACTATAAAAACTATGTAAAAAATTACGACAAATATAAAACATTAAATAAAACCTACAATATATTTGAGTCAATTTGAAGGAACCAGTGGTTTGCAAACCCAGTCTGGCATAGTCTGTGACATATTTATTAATAAATTATTATCTAGTTAATAATAATAATAGATGCTATTTATTGTGAATACCATATTATTAAATGATAACGTTACTTGTTTTAATGTGCAAAAATTTAATTAAATTGTAAACCATATGTTTAAAAATAAATATCACATATTTAATCGCCATTAATAAACATGTATAAACTAATAATTATCATCGGCATAATCATGGCGATCAAGATGAGCATCGGAGATGGTTAGTATGCAGCATCAATTAGTTTCAAACATTAACCATGATTATTTTACAATAAATATAATATGTTAATATTATTAATTTAATTAAAAATTAATTATATAAATAACATGTTACATATTTTTGGCAATATCTAATATTATTATTCAGCTAGGCAAGGCAACCACAACAAAACCAACTACTACAACAAAGAGACCAACAAAAACAACACTAAAAACAACACCAAAAACAACACCAAAAACAACACCAAAAACAACACCAAAAACAACACCAAAAACAACTACTACAACCACAACCACTACCGACTCCACGGCCAATGGGTCCGAACCGGGAAAGTGCTTGAAAGCCAATCAGGAGTGGAAAGAACGCGCGTCTGTCTGTCCCACGAGTTGTCACAATAGAAAGACAATTGCATTCTCGATGTGCATCGACTGCACAGATGAAAGCTGTGTCGGCGGGTGCGAGTGTTTGCCCAAACACTATGTGCTCACCGGTGACAACACCACTAACAGCGATTGTGTGTCCGAAAGTGAATGTCCCAAATCTGGCCAATCTGTGCCAACACCGACAGAAGCGACAGATAAGCTGTTACAAGTGGCCGATACGGCGACAGACACGGCATCCGAACCGGGAAAGTGTCCGAAAGCCAATCAGGTGTGGAAAGAAGATTCGGACAAATGTCTAAGTAATTGCTCCAATTGGAGGACCGGAGACATTAACTGTATGTCATACCCGGGGCCGGGATGCGAGTGCGCGCCCGACCATTACGTGCACGACATCACTGCCGAGTGTGTCCTTTTAAAAGATTGTCCTGCTAAAAACAAAAGTACTTATTTGTTTACGTGCTAGGTTATTTATGTTGCAACTAGCACCAGCTAGCTGTAATAATTGCTATTTACCTAAATAAGTTTTGTAACAAGCATGTTTTTATTTTGATAGAAACAACAACAACGGAACCGACAGATAAGCTGTTACAAGTAGCCGATACAGAAACAGATACGGCAACGACAACATCAAAAACATCAGCAAAAAAACCAAAAACAATAATAACAACAACACCGCAAACCACAACCACTACTGAATCCACGGCCAACGCAACCGAACCGGTAAAGTGTGCGAAAGCCAATCAGGTGTGGAACGAAGAGGCGTCCATTCATTGTCCCATCAGTTGCTCCAATAGACGTACGTTCGGACCCATCAACTGCATGGAGACCCCGGGCCCGGCGTGTGAGTGCGCGCGCGACTTCTTCATACACGACACCACCAAAGAGTGTGTCCCCGAAGATGACTGTCCAAAGAAATCTGGCTGATAAATGTGTATATCATTACACTAATTAATTTAACTATTTAAGTTATTTATGTTATACACTTGTATAGTTATTATGTTTTGCATTAATTAAAGTTTTGCAATCAGTTTATAAGAGTTTTTATAATTTATTTAATTACTAATTGGTTAATAAGAATTAAACTAATTCAGATAGTTTTTTGTGCACTTTTCTATAGTTTAAAATATTATTTATTAAAGTTATATGAAGTAAAGGCCACTAAAATTCCTTAATTATTTAATAAAATAAACAATAAATACAAATTTTGTAAATTTTTTTAATAAGTTTTCTATTTATTAAATTTTATTTTCCACATTAAAAAATAATTGTTATTTTTTGTCATTCATTGTTCTAATAAAATACATAATGAATGTTGTATTGACAACACTTTTCCTACACTTCACTACAGAAACTAAATTAATTGTTCGCAAAATCAGTACAATTGTGCCGATAATGGCATCAAAACAATTGCCGACCACTGAAACAGTTGGTAAAACAGCGGCACTGGACACACATCCGACTGAACAGTTGTCCACTCCATCGGATCCACAATCACGACAACCACACGAACCGCATGTAGTGGTGGACAGACGTACCGGCGCTCAAACTACAGACACGTCAGCACTACAGACAACTCCCGATGATAGCGATGCGGACGAAACTTAATATTTATATCACAGACAGGTCTTTGATTAAAGTAAATTTATATAAACTAAAGTTATATATAAATTAAACGAAATTTTTTAAAACTACAAAATAATATAAAAATAAAGTTGATTTTTTAAAATTAAAAACATTATTGCTTTATTTAATGATTATTTTATTCACGTACATGTCATATGAATTAAACGGTTAACATATTAAACACATATACAAAATGTACGATTATATGCAATAATCATATTATTTCCATTCGAGAGTTAGTGTGCGGTTATTCACCAGATTCTTGGTGAAGGTGCTGTTGTTTATTTTCTTCATGGGTATACAATCACCGATAATTCTTAACAATATACACACGTGCGTACGTGCCTCTTTTGTTGTGCACTTGAGGTTCACACACTGCTCGACCGCGCGCTTTTCGTTCATGTTCTTCCAATTCTTGTCCAAGTATATAGGGACATGGTCGTACAGCTTTTTATCACCATCCTTAGGAGGATTGTGTCTTCCCTCGTCGTTGTTGGCCGACCCGGGCTGACCCGCTGTCATCAAAACGATGACAATCATTGCCATTGTTGTTGTCCAAAAATTTTTCAATAACATGGTAGTTATTGGTTGCTCTGCTGAGCTCACTTGACCTATTGAATCAAGTAATTGATATTCCTTAAATATATAGCACTATATTTACAATTTATATCACTTACTGTAAGCAGTATTGTTTTATATAGTATTGTCTGCCTGTAATAATAGTTATTTCCGATTAAATGGTGTTTGTAAAGTAATATTTTAATTATAATTTTATTACTTGCACTAATATGCATGCGCCATGAGTTACTTAATTATGATTTAATACAATGCCTACAGTACAACATTTTAAAACGTTAGGTAAACCTAAAAACGGAACGGGATTGTGTCGGGTGTAGACATATAATTATATGGGCTCAATAGGGATGATTTTGATTTTCATGTATAAAGTAATGATTTATCTAGTAAATAAATATACCTGTACATATAGGAATTTAATTAAATATAAATTACAATAGTGTAATATAGTTGATTAAATTTTATAATTATAACTATAATCTAAAACTTATTTTTTGGTTCTTAGCATATATAGTAATAACAATTTTGCTAACCATAAGTCTATTAATATTAAAATGTCGGGCCTTAATCACGCATTTGTATAAATGACATGTTCAGCACTGAATTAAAATTAAGCTTGATATGAATTTATTATTTGATTTAAACTTCATTGTGTAAATTACTTTATAATAAATTGTTCATTAAATAATCATTAATGTAATTTATTAAATATGAACAAATATTGAAATTAATTTTACTTACTGTTAGTAATATTGTATGGCTGTCCGCATATGCCACGTATGCCTGAATGAATAGTTATTTCCACTTAATGGTGTTTGTGAAGTAAAATTTAATTATAATTTTAATTACTTGCGTTATGAGTTAATTAATTATGGTTTCATACGATGCCTACAGTACAACATCTTAAAACGTAAGGTAAACCTAAAACACGGAATAGGATAGTGTCGGATGTAGGCACATAATTACACGGACCCAATGAGGATGATGTTCATTTTCATAAATATAATTTAGGTTTGTCTGGTTTATAATTTTACTGTTTTATTTTGTTAAGTCCATTTAATAAAAATTATAAATATTTATAAAACATAAAGTTTGTATATAAGGACTCGCTATTCAAACACCAAATGTGTTCTAAACGTGATTTCAGTCAAACGGTGGCCAAACAGTGGACGCTATACAAGAAGTTTAAGACAATCGACACAATGTTTGCAAAAAATACTGACAATCAGTGAATTGAAAACAATTGCAAAGAGAAGCAAAACAGACATTAATTGTTTGCAAAAGTGACCAGAATTTGGTCGCAAATGAAAGCCACGGAAACGAACGCATGGCATGCGGGGCCGACTCCCGACGACGTGAAGCCCGCGTCGCCCATCACTGGTCCGGAAGTGAGTGCAACGCAAACACCGAAACCCCTGACGGATTGCAGCGGTGCTTACACTACGGCCTCGGAGGCAATTCTAGAGCATTGCTGTCCCGATTGTGACCGCATTTGTAACATATTTGGCAAATATTTCCGCAAACATATCGAAAACATTTGCTCGAAACGACGCAAAGAGGTCTCCACTGACAGCACATCAGTCGAGTCAACGCCAGCGCGTCTCAACTCAACACCCATTCCTCGTACGGCCGAAGACCACACGTCAACACCGGATGTGATTGTTATTAAACAAGAGCTGGTCGTCGACGCGAAGGACAGGAATAACAGCAATGACTGCAATGAAAGCGTTTCCACCGAATGAAGAGTTGGCAGACATTAAGACCAAAGCCGTGGCCGACGACGAAGAAGAGGTGTCCAGTGTTTCGCTGAAAGATGAGTCAAAACACGTATTTATATCGTGTGAAACACAACAACAAATTGGCCACAAGAAGCAACAGGTGATCGACAACTCTATCACAGATACAGCGCCCGACGGCTCGTCCGCCACATCTTAACACAAATATTTAGCCGATTCTCGTTTTCAACCCATCTTCCCTTTATGTTTATTGTAATGACCATGGCCATATTATTAGTTTGTATGGCGCATTTGCAATGCAGATTCTGACCTTCATATGGTGTTTGGTTTTCAATCAATTTTATTATTCATTTTTATTCCCTAATGAAATAAAAATTTCATTCCGAAGACAAAATATCGTTAATTGAAATATCCAGTTTTAGACATAAAATCCCAAAAAATATCCATATTTTCAATATTTCAATTTAAGATATTTTATCTTTGGAATGAAATTTAAAAAAATCTTTTTACTGACATTATCAGCATTTAATGTGGTTTTTAAAAATACAATTAATTATATTGAAATATAAAATTATTTTTCATCCCCATAGGTTAACATGGGGAAATTGGCTAATTTTGTTCACTTGCCATGCAAAAACGTGCAATCCAATAATGGTGGTTCTTGGTTATTATAACACTTTGACATTAGCTCTATCCAATCCTAACCCCCACCCCTCCCTATGATTAACACAGGAGGCTGTGACTATGGGTCTCGCAAACCATCCATTTTTACCCAAAATAGTCACGTGATCATAAAATTTTTAACCACTATTCTGATATGAATAATGTGGTTTATAGGATCGTT